ACACACACACACACACACACACACACACACACACACACACACACACACACACACTTTTTTCTGGTTTCAGGTTTATTTCATTACTGACAGGTTAAACGCCTCCATCCATCTACATCACATCCATCCATCCATCCACATCACATCACATCCATCCATCCATCCACATCACATCACATCCATCCATCCATCCATGCACATAATATCCATCCATCCATCCATCCACATCACATCACATCACATCACATCCATCCATCCATCCACATCACATCACATCCATCCATCCTTCCATCCATCCATCCATTCATCCATCCATCCATGCACATAATATCCATCCATCCATCCATCCATCCATCCATCCATCCATCCATCCACATCACATCACATCCATCCATCCATCCACATCACATCACATCCATCCATCCTTCCATCCATCCATCCATTCATCCATCCATCCATGCACATAATATCCATCCATCCATCCATCCATCCTTCCATCCATGCACATAATATCCATCCATCCATCCATCCATCCATCCATCCATCCTTCCATCCATCCTTCCATCCATCAATCCATATCACATCCATCCATCTATCCATCCATCCATCCATCCATGTACATAATATCCATCCATCCATCCATCCATCCATCCATCCATCCATCCATCCATCCATTCATTCATCCATCCATCCATCCATCCATTTGTTGTTGCAACCTAAACCAGCCTCTTGTTCTTCACTTTGCTTCATACGAGGATCTGGACTCTTGATTATTGAGAAACGATTGCTTCCTGGAGGTGTGGCCTCTGTTGAAGTTTAAAACGATTAGATCTGATTTACCCAGTCGCTAACAGTTGGCCGCGACACGTGTACGCCAGCCTCACTGTGTAGGAGGCTAAGCTAAGAAGCTAACCCTACTGAGAGGAGAGAAGTACCGAGCCAAATGAGACGGCTGTAAATAAATCCTGCAGGTTTTGTCAGACAAATTTAATTTAATTTGGAAGCCTTATCAACACGGACTGGCTTCATTTCCTCCGCTGCCATTAAACTACAAGCAGACACTGCGCAGAAAATCAATGTTGTCTTTCAAAACTCCTCCTTCTGTTCTCTGATTGGCCCGACTGAAATGCTCCCGGAGAAATCCTCGTCTATGGGAGAAATCCCAGACGGAGCAGTGAAGGGAAACTAGAATTGGGCAGAACTGCGAAAGGCAAGGGCCAGGCTAGTTGCAACCCAAATTTTGGTTATTTGTAACTGGGAGAGAACAAATGTCAAAATAAAGTGCATAAATTCTAATCAAAGTCTATTCATAGTATTAAAGACTGTTCAGATTGTTTGCTGTTTTCTAAGTTTTGCTGTCACTGATAAAAGAAGGGAAAACAATAAACACTGTGCTGTAAGAAGTTATGAGACATTTAATACATTTTGTATTTTGGAAATTGACTTCATCAAGAATAAATGCCACATTGGACCTCGACACAAAATAATCTGAAAACACCATTCAGACAGAGTTTAACCTGCAKAACAAGGAGGTTTTAGTACAGTATTATTCAGGGAAAAGATGAAAACTGTCACAGATTGATCACAGTCTGTAGAAAATGGTTTCAATTACCTTCTGGGATAACTGAAGGAGTCGACTCCTCCTCACTTCTTTGTGACTGATGCAGTTAATAATCTGCATTATGGGCCTAATCTACAGAGAATAAGAAGCAACGTGAATGGATGATTAATGTAAATTTTAATGTCAGACGTTAGGCTGGCTTTTTATTTAACCACAGCGATGCTTCAGAAAAGAATTGGATAGGATTTCAGGAGAAGAGAGAAAGAACAGACGCTGCAGACAGAGAGAGAAACGAGACAAACAGAGACACAAACAGAGAAAAGAGTCTTTGTGCTCGGATCCAGCTGTTGATTCAGGACTCTGATCTGAGTCTGATGACCACAGACCCTGGCTCCCGCTCTGACAGATTAATTCCCGCTGGATAGTTTTCCTCTTTCTGACAGAGAGGTGGCTTTCCTGCTGCCTGAACATAAACAGATTCCAGACAATAATGTCAACCTTCTGTTTCAGAGCTGATAGCCTGCAGGGAGCCACACAGACTGATCCGCCACTTTATCCACAGCCTTCCATTAGTTCAAAGAGCAGAGCACCTTCTCCAGGTGTTTGCAGCCGAGTGGTTTACGACAGGGCTGAGCTGGAATGTGTCGCTGCAGGAAGATCACAAACACAAAGGAAGGAGCTGCAKGTTTCTCTGTCTGCTGAGCACCAACGAACCAGACAAAACTAAATAACCAAACCAAAATAAAGCTCAGAAACAAAATATTTGGTTTTGTTTTATGACTTYGCGTCTCGGTTTTACCTCCAACTAACCCACCTGCTCTGTTTTCTGACAGCTGAACCCTCTGTTGGATCAGAACCTTCAGGATGAACATGAAACTCCTCGGAGCTCTGAGCGGCTTCGTTCTGCTGACTCTGGCTGTTCTCGCCTCAGCCAGGCCCAAAGCAGGTCAGTCTGCAACTTCTGCAGGAAAACTCACACAGCAAGGGAAAACRTTTTTGTTTTTTAATGCCCTTCATTGTGGAGGACCAAATCTGACAAAATTAGAAATAAAAGCAGAAATATAGAAATGGACCAATAAATAAATAAAAACATTTAAAATGCACCAAATAAATTAAAAATAACTTTTCCTCATGTTTTATAATTTAATTGAACTTCAAATTAATTTTTCCAGCTTTGATCCAATAAATAATATATTTTAGCACATAATTTACATTTAACTGTTTTTAAAAATATATATACATTTTTACTTTTATATGCATTTGTGTCTCTTAAATGATTATATTTATATTTATTAATATATATTTATATATTTCTGCTTTTATTTCTATTCATGTCAGTTTTGATCCTCCATACCATCAGATCAGACAACATGTGCTACCAAGTGTGTATTTTAATGCATATATATGGCATAATTATATTTAGGAATGCACAATATATACTGTATGCATTAATTAAGTCAGATTTTAGACCTTTATCAGCTCATTTTTGAAAATCGGACAATATTGGTCTTTTTTTTTTTTTAGAATATCAGTATCGGTCCGATAAGTAAAACGTCCGGTTTTCTTTTCCCAGCCAGGAATAACTCAAGCTGAAAGCCACGTCAGAGGTGTTGTCATTTTTTTACGGTATCACAAACAGACACAAGTTAATTTGTGCATATATATTTAGAAATAATTTGTGAAATATCAGAAAATATCAGTTATCGGACGCCAATAATAATATCGGATATCAATAGTGACTGAAATTTTCACATCATGCATCCCTAGTTATATTCATTATATGTGTGTGTACAGTCAAGTTTTAGATGCAATATATATATTTCTTTTACTATTTTTGGGTAATTTTATCTTAACATTTAAAACAACTGAACTTTCTTTTAAATAAATAAAAAAAACTATTATTTTTCCTGGTACAGTGAGTCATTGTTTCAGTTAAAAACAATGTTTTATGTCATTTTTATTATTCACATTCGGAGGTGATTTGTTTTACATCTGCATGTGACTTCATTCATGAGAGCAGACTTGTTTTAAATATTAGGAAGCTGCCATTGCTCATGTCTGGTTGAAACTAAAGACAGACTCCCCAACACTCCCACACGGCTTCTTTATTCTGACCCCGAAGGCTTTGTGGGTTTTTAGTTCTCGTGCTGAAACTCTCCACGTGCATTAATCAAATAATCACTTTCCAACGTATTAAACCACAGGAAAAACACAGGCTTCACTCCCCTCATTCACGGCTGCAGCGTCATAATGTTACAACATGAAAGGGAGTCAGAAAAGTTAAAGACAAAACCAGGTGTCCTAAAGCAACTGAAACCATGGAAAAGTAAAGTCAGGTGGTGAAAGTGCTGAATCTCTGCTGCAGCCTCGTTTACGACTAAAACTATTCTAAAAAACACAAGAAAACAACTCAAACCTCTTGTCTCAGAAACTGATGGTGCAGAGTTCTTTCCAGGTCCAGAGCAGAAATGTAAGTCTGGTCCGTTGGATCTGGTCTTCCTCATCGACAGCTCCCGCAGCGTGAGGCCACATGAGTTCGAGACCATGAGGAAGTTCATGATTGACATCCTGAACACTTTGGATATCGGACTGGACACTACCAGAGTGGGAGTTGTCCAGTACTCCAGCCAGGTACTGGTTCAGCATTTGTTTGGGTTTTGATGCCGTGGCAGAAAAGTGGAATGGTTCCTGGAGTCGTCGTTTTTTGTCTTTGTGTTCAGGTTCGCAGTGAGTTCAGTCTGAAAACCCACAGCAAGCTGGAAAACCTGGTGAAGGCCATCAATGAGATTATCCCTCTGGCTCAGGGCACCATGACGGGCCTGGCCATCAGATACCTGATGAACGAAGCTTTCAGTCCTGAGCAGGGCGACCGGCCGAAGGTAAGAGTCTTATGTCTTATAGGTTTACCTGTTGAACATTTTAGCAATGGCGTTTTAAAAAGCAGACCTAGCACTCGTCTCCAACATTGGACTTAATTCCATTCATCTTCCACCTCCGTCAAGGTTCCCAACGTAGCCGTGATCGTGACGGACGGACGTCCTCAGGACCGCGTGGCGGAGGTGGCCGCTGAGGCCAGAGAGAAAGGCATCGAGATCTACGCCGTGGGCGTGGCCAGAGCCGACATGGCATCGCTCAGGGCCATGGCCTCCCCGCCCTTCGAAGACCACGTCTTCCTGGTTGAGAGGTTTGATCTCATTCACCAGTTCGGACTGCAGTTCCAGGACAAACTCTGTGGTAAGATAAGGAAACTAACCCACATCATGCTGGTTCTTTTCAGTCAAACACTTTTATGGAAYGTGAAAAACTCTGAACCAACAAAAGACAGCTTAAAGCAAAAACTGAAGCTCATAAATCTGATCTTTAGGGAGTCGTTCTCTCTGAACTTAAGACCATATTTTTATAAAAGTCCCTTTTGAAATCCAACCTTTACATTTACTTCCACCAGTGAATTACTTTGAAGACAAACAAAAACCCTGAAAATTAAAGCTTCGTGCAGTCTGGGTCGCAGGGTTTAAATGTTCTTTTTGTAAATTGAAAACATTAAAYGTCTAGCCTGAAGTAAAAAAAAAAGTCTCCAGCTCCTCCCAAAAATGTAATATACTTTCAAATGAGACTCCTCTGATCCCTTTAATACATTTCTTTGAACTCTAATTTATTTCATCGCAACAGAAAGGGTAGAAAGTCAAATAAGGATGGAGATGTTTGACTGCAGGTTTATCAACAGTAGTCATTTTTTATTTCATTTCTTAACATAAAGGTTGACTAATAGCGTTCATAAATTAAATTATTTCTCAAGTTTGATCTCTTATAATCTGAAAGAAAACAACAAAAAATATAAATAAATAAAACGGCATCATTCCATTTTTCTAATGCTGCAAAAAACAGACCTATTCTCATGCTTTTCATACAGAATTTACTTTTATACAAAATGTTATTTTAGCTCCCACACAACCTCAAAAAGAAAAAAAGTAGCTTCTTTTATTCAACATTAATGAAAAATATTAGAAAACATCTTGTTGGTATATTGAATTAAACCAGAAAAGCTAGAATAACAAGACGTCTTGAACCAATATGAGTGACTTCTGATGAGTGGTGTCCTCATCATAATTATCTGTTAGCAGTGACAAATGTCACAACTGATCTGAGCTGTCCTGCTGCTGCAGGTGTGGATCTGTGTGTGGAGTCYGAGCACGGCTGTGAGCAGCTCTGTGAGAGCTCCCCAGGCTCGTACCACTGCCTCTGCCTGCCGGGCTACACRCTGAACCACGACGGAAAAACATGTGCAGGTCAGAAATAACGTCAAATACGAGCACAACTTATGTTTTTCCATAAATTACACTTTGATTTTATTGGGGTTTTTTGTAATTTAGCAATAAAGCATCTTTAAATAAATCAAAATCTGTTTGTTGCAGCCATTGATCTGTGTGCTGAGGGAAAACATGACTGTGAACAAATCTGCATCAGCTCACCTGGTTCCTTCACCTGCGACTGCAACCAGGGATACAACCTGAACACGGACAGGAAGACCTGCTCACGTCAGTCTCACACAAACAAACTTYACATCTTAGTGATAAGGATATTTGTTTGTTTGCATTCTGCAACAATACATTTTAACAGCCACACAGCCAGTAAACATCCTCCAGGCAACATTTTTACATTCTTACACAGCAACATCTGCAGCAGTGGGTCTGCTTGTTGGTCATGTTTAGATGGTTGCCATCAAGAGGAAAAGGTTCAATACACAATTTATCTGTAATTGTAGCCATCAACCTGTGTGCTGARGGCAAACATGACTGCCAACAAGTCTGTGTCAACATGGGACCGGGCATCTTCACCTGCGACTGCAACGAGGGACACCGACTCAACGAGGACAAGAAGACCTGCTCAGGTTGGTCAGAGCGTCCCCAAAAATACACACAAATCAAAGTATTTATACACACAGACAGCATGAGAGGATTCTCTTATGCCTTCATCATTCTCTTATAAAGCCTGACATTTAGGTTTCATTAAAGCAAAACATGTTAGCACATGAAAATATTAAAGGGCCAATATTATGTGTTTCTCAGGACAATATTTAAATACTATACCATAATAAAGTATCTATGTCACCTTTAGTTGTTATTAAAATGCTGTTTTTATGTTTAAATAGAAAATAAACGTATCTTCTCATCACTTCCTCTTTGAAACACCTTGAAATTGGCCTCTGTCTCTTTAAGAACCTCCTTCTGCTTCTGTTCTGTCCTGTTTGGAGGGGGTGATGGGG